TCCAAACGTCGAGGCCTTTGAACTGAGGCGCTGTGGCACACGTGGCAAAGTGCGATCGATTCTGGGCGACGACTTGAAAATCCGGCGTGAGGAAGAAGCCAAGGTTCGCCCCGTCGACCTTTTCCTGGCACACGATCGGCGTGTTCAAAAACGCGGCCGCTTCCAACGGGTCCAAGATGAGGTCGTCCCGCGAAATGCCGGCACATGGGAGCAAGTGTTTGGTTCGAGGAAACTTCATGAGTACTGGATGACCGTCCTGTGTGCTTGTAACCTTCGCATGACCACGCGGCGAAGACGACATCGAGGCACTTGAACATGGCACTGGCGCTTTAGAAACGGAAGGCACCACCACGTTGACGTGAATCATGTCTTGGCTGTCGATGGCCAATTGAGCGGCATATTGATGGAGGTGGGCGACGACTACTTCGACGTCACCAAGAACTCCGAATGTACGGGCCATGCCTGGAGCAGGATGCATCGGATCCACTTCGACGGCCTTGGCGTGGAACAAGTCGCGCCATGCTTTGGCAAGCGACCAGTTGAACCAGTGGGTAAGCGCCCACGTCGATTTCGTCCCGTGCGGCTTGTATGTCACAGCGATGGATACGATATGCGTAGGGTCGACACATGGACTGCGCCGCTGGACGAGCCGGGAGAGCGCGCCAGATGACGGAAACGGCCCCTTGTCGGTGCAGCAAATCTCGCGGCCTTCATCAAACGCTACTTGAACACACACTTGTATGTGCGGGCCAAGGTGGATGTTGGAAACGTCCAAGACGGGATGGCTCGCATAAAACCCCTTCACAGCATCTTTCACAGACAACTCGTGCGACTGCGTTGCGCAGAAAGCCGCGACGAGCGCTGCAATTTTGAACGTCGGGACGCCGTTGTATTGGGTCCCATGGAGCTGCTTCGCCTTGAGCTGGGCCACAACGACGTCGACGCAGCGCGCAAATACGTGCATGGAGACGGGAGCGGTGGCCATTTGAGTCTGTATCGCCCGAAGGGTCGCGAGCCCCAAGAGCGCACGGTCGTTCGGGTTGGAACTCGTCCACCACGAATCCGTCGATGTTTTGTGATTGTCGTACGCGACGAGAGCGGCTTTGTCGGCGAACACAACGTCCACTTCAATGGGCGATGCATGCGGAAACGTCCAGCGCGCCTTGAGGACGGGGCACCGACTATTGCCGCTCTCGTACACATCCACGAGTCCGTGATGCCGCATGGTGGCCGCCAGCTGCGCCACCGCTTGCTGGGCCGAAGCTTGGTGGTCTTGCATGGCCACCAGGACATCCAAGTCGCTTGCCCGCCCCAGCGCAAACGACCCAAATGGACGGATGTCTGTCGAGTTGGTCCACCCCGAAATGTCTGTGAGGATCGCATGAACGCGGGTCGTAAAGTCAATCGTCGGGACGTGCCCGAGGTTCTTGAGCCACTGCACCACCGTGTACGGCTTGCCGGTGTACATGAGCTTGGCGTCGACAATTTCGATCGAGAGGTGGCGCTGGGCCGACCACTTGCCACTCCACTTGTACAGCTCCTGGAGGACGTCGTCGTCGTCTTCGTATACGACGACACGTTCGAGCGCCTCGGACGAGTCGACCCACGAAGTGAGTGCGCTCAGCTTGAACGAAATGTTCTCGAGGGCGCGACCGGCCGCCTGGCTTTCCTGCGTCTGGCCGGCTAAGTCTGCCGTCAAGTGCGATGGCTTCCCAAAGACCGCGTCGGGATACACGCCGTAGGCGGCGAGGACCTCCCGGATGTTAGGTTCCAGAGATTGGTCGCGAGCGGTCAGGACAACGCCACAGGCGGCCGTCGCCCCAAGGACTCGCTTGAGTTCGCTGACGGCTGGAAGCGGGACAAGCTTCTGCGACGAGTGGAGACTCAGGGGGGACTTGAACCAGTCCTTCCCGATGGAGGCAGCGTCTTGTGCGGACAGAACTTGCATGCCGTAGTGGCGAGGGGGCGGTCGAATCAACGTCATGTCAAAGTCGAACACATGAAGGCTCGTCACCGCCGGCGGCAGCACCAAAGACTGAAACGCAGGCTGACGGTGGGACGACGCGGTGTCACCTAGCTGGACGAGCTCAGCCAGCGACGTCACGCGGCGGCGATCTAGCGTGTAGTACGTCACAGTCCCCGAGATCGGGATGGGAAATGGCAGCGGGACGGCGTGTGTGGTTGCCAAGAGATCGTGGCTCGCCTTGGCGGACGACCCTGGTGCAAACGACACGGTAACGTGTGGAGGAGAGCCGCCGTTACCCCAAGAAGTCTGGCCAACTTTGGGAGTCGTCGCGACCAGCGCCTGCACGTGTGCATTTGTCGCACAAGTGATCACTTCAAATCCAACAGTCGCGCCCAAGTGTAGAGTGTTCAACACGGCCTCCGACGGTTCGTATGAGATTGTCACGTGGTCGAGCGCAACATGCGCATGCACGGGAGTCACATGCCGCTTCAAGCGCGCCTTGGACGAATCGTCAAGGGCAACTGCAGCGAACAGGACCTTCGGGAACTGGAGCGGCCTGGACGTTGGCGGCACCAAGCCTTGCACGGGGACTCGAGTGATCGAAGCGATGCCGTCGAGGTTGCCAAGGGGCTCGACCTTGAGATACCGTGCGACAGAGTCGCCGGGAATGTCGTGGATTGAGCGGCGAATGCATGCCGCCGCGTCCGACGTTTCGAATTCAAGCACATGGACGGGACGGTTTGCAGCGCGCGCGCGATCTACATACGGCAGGAGATGGCGAAGCTCGACGTTGGTGTTGTCCACCACGACAATGTTCACGGTCGAGTCCTCGAGCGCCTGATCGAATTGATCCTGGCAATGGGCATGCGCCATGTCGAGCTTGGATTTGTCGAACGTGTACACACCAGCGAGCTCAAAAAACGAGTCGGCGCTGCAAATGCGAACGGCATGGGGGCCATACACTCTTGCGACCGCGCGACTGGCAGTCGACTTGCCGCTACCGGGTGCCCCACGCAAGATCAACACAGACCGTGGCAGCAGACGTGGAAGAGCAGCTTCCATCGCGGCATGATCGGGCTCCGGGACATCGAGGGCTAACGTTGGGGCGAGCCGTACGTAGAACCCGTCCGCGTCGAGGCGACCGCCCGTCGCGCACAGTTCGATGTCGCTCCAAGTCTGGGTTCCCATGCGAACGGACGAGTTGGAATAGTTCACGGATGGAGTGGTTTTGCACATGTCGCGGTTCAGCTTGCACAGTGTGACGTGGGCTTGGAATGGGTCGTGGTTGCCGACGTCCGAGATCCCGACAGCTTGCAACCGACGTCGGAGGAGCGCGGCAATTTGGGCAAGGGCTGGATGCGTCACTTGCACATGTACGACCCGATTCGAAAACGTCGAGACGCCGACGAGCTCAAGCGAAGGCGATGCTCGTACCGTTGTCTGGATGAGTCCCCTCATTTCCAGCAGCATGCGCTGAGCAATGGCAAGGTCCTGCACGTTGCGGAGGCGGAGCATGGCAAGCGTACAGTGAAATTTGTGCGGCGGGATGAGCGCGGGGCGGAGGCGATCGTTGGTCGCAACAATTTCGTGTTGAATGGCCACGCAGGCCGCCACCACAGCCGGGTCCATGATGCGGATGCACAAGAATGCGTTCGGGCGGTCCGAGTTGGTGTGGAACGGGGGAAAGTACGGCGCGACTTCCTTGGCAATCTTCTGGCTTGGGGACGAGACCAGAGTCGCGGGGCTCGCATCAAACGACACGGGCTCGTGGCCCGACGATCCGAACACGCGATCCAAACGGCATCGCTTGTCCCAGACAATCGCCCCCTTCCACTTGAAGTACTGAATGCGGTGTTTTGGAATCGCTGTCTCCATGTGGGACAGCGTCGAGATATCGCTCCAGTTGAACGACATGAGGGGGCGCTCCATGATGCCGAGGAATCGATCGAGGTATCCCACGACCACTTCGTTCTCGTTGACCTGGTCGTCCCATAGCATTCGATGTATCACATCCGTGGCCGTGCGCATGCTGCCCTTCTCCGTTGGAGATGGCGAGTCCACTGACTGCTTGGACGACGGGTGCGGCTTGGTTGGTTGTTTCGTTCGAGTCGGTACCTGCGATTTCGCCCGCGGAACGGGCGCCGGGGGGCACGCATCGTCCTTCAACTTGACGGCTGCTACTGCATTGTCTTGAACGTATGCTACTCCTGCTTCGATCATGCTAAACAGGCACACTTCGCCATGCGCCAGGGGCGACGCGGCGGCAGAACACATGACGTGACGAAGCGCGTCATCGTCGCCTGTGAACTTGCTGCTGAGGTATGTAAACGACACGGCTGGGCACTGTTGGTCTCGCGGGTACGACGCACTCGTTGTGAAGTCGAACGTCACAATGTCCTGGACGATAACCTGCACCCCAACATGGCGATCGGACGAGACGTTGACATGCACCGAGTTGTCGCCATAGATGGCTTGCAACGCTTCGAGCTCGAGTGTGTGGTCAGGGGAAGGCGGCATGCGAGCGAGCAAGAGTTCGACTGTGGACGGCGTCGTCGGGGCTTTGCAATCGAGATAATGGGGGGACGACGGACTCCATCGTCCAGCCACCCTCGCTCATCCCGAGGAAACGTCCTTGAACGTTCGTTGTCGCGCGGGCGCTGAATGAAGGTCGTTTTGACCATGAGTGATGGATGGAACGAACGAACAACCCGAACGAATGAACGACCGTCACATCCAGTTGTTGGCGGGAATGAAAAGACAATGGAGGCAGGCACGACTCGCCATCGCCTAGTCGCCATCCATGGCGACTACGTGTCGACGTGTGCCCGACGCGCAGCAACTAGTAGAAGAGGAAAAGCGTGGCTGGCTAGCCTTGCCATCGTGCGTTTGTTGAAGTCGCGAAACGATTCGGGATTGCGATTGCAAAGTTTGGCGATGCTTTATGATCCCAGGCAACAACGCTCCGTGTTTACGTGAGGCATGGGGCTCGCATGATATTTGCGACCTGCGCATTGTGGCACAAGGTGTATGGACGGCTGCCCGGGCCGACGGTATGTGGGCAGTGCGGCGAACTTCTTGATATAGGGGTCCGCAGAGCCCACGCCATTCTCTCCTACCTCCGTTTCGTCTAGGGAACTGTAGCAAGGTCACATCCAAGCATACGCTGGTGGCGACACCACCTGGCACTCGTTGCAAGATCAAGTGCTGTGAGAAGCACCATGCTGGTGTGTGAACGCACAGCCGCACCGAGCGCCATGCTCGGACGTCGCCCCTCGCCAGCGAATGCAAATGGATGCAGGAATTCCAACGACCATCGAGTTGATAAGTCGCGAGAAATGGGGTGGATCGGTTTCGGCTGGACGAAACGGTGAGTGGTGTGTGTCAAGGGTTGCGGGGCCATCGAGAATTTGCGGGCGTTGACGACAACGATGCAGGTTGCCCATGTCGACTCGAGCGCGTCGCTCCTGGTTGCAGCGAGACTCTCTCGATGGCATCACGTGGCGCTTGTGGTAGGTGTCGTGGCGGCTGCGGCTTCGTTTGCCGTCACGATCGCGTACATGCATGTCGTCCAGTCGTACGTTGAAAATGACTACTTTTGGACGGATTTCAACGCCGCCGCCCAAGCGTTCATGGCGGACGTGTACAATGCCCAGCTGTGGAAGGTCTCGACCGACGACGTGGCGCCGCTCGCGCTATTTTCCCCTGACGAGGCGCTTGCCAAGGACTACTCGGCCCTTGACGCAGCGACTACGATTCAAATGACGCGGAATCGACGCTTGGCTGCGGAAGAGCTAACCAATGTAGCATTTGCTGTGGCGTCTCTTCGAGTCCAAACGATTCGGAAGAGCGCGAGATCTCTCACGTGCCACTGCTGGCTTGATTTTGACCGGCGATGGGAAGTCGCATTCACGACAAAGCGGCAGCAGCGCTGTCACGCGCGGTTTGCCGACAACGGCGCGGTGTACTTGGAAGCGTTGCTGCGCAATACGGTCTGGGACAAATGGTATCCGACGTGGGGAGCAAACTTTGAGGTGGCGTACGGAAATGCGTTGCGCGAAGCGGTCGGCGGCGCGGCGTGGCTAGAGCGCACCAAAGCCGCCGTGGCATCGACTTCAGTCGAGGCGGAAGTGGCCTTTTGGACGGACAAGAACGTCTCGCGGTACACCATTGCGTGGCACAACCACCAAGAGATCGCGTTTGACGGCTCCGTGGCGGTCCGCACCGTGTTTGCAACGTTTTCCATTCCCCTGCACCACACCATCAGCCAGTGGGGGCTGTGGACAAGTGGATTGGCGTCGCAAGGCGTATGGAATGGCTTCTTGTATGCCGGAGACGTCAATGCAAGCCTCGTTCGGAGCGCATCCAACTCGTTCGTCCGTCTTCCCGACTCGAAAAACGTCGAAATGTGGACGGGGGGCTACCCCGACACAGTTTGGAGTGTTCTCCTCCACGAAGTGGTCGGGCCCATCGGGTCCCTCGACCTGTTGTACGTGCAGCCCCCGCAATCGCTGCTCCAGCTGCACACGCTCCTCCACAAAGCCCTCGTCCACGACATCCAGCAACATCATCTCACAACGCCGTGGTCCAAGTCGATCTTCGCCATGGTCCCTCCCCACTGGCGAGGCCACACCTACGCCGGTGGAAATCCATTGTGCTACATGGGGACGCTTCGGTCGTACGTGCAGCAGAGCATTGGGTTTGACGACGGATGCGCGCGGCCGTACCCTCAGATGACGGTGGAATCGACGTTCGTGAACGTCGTGATGGCGCAATGGCTCGTGCATTACTTTTTCCAACGCGACGTGATGCCCAAGGCCATTTGCGCCTTGACCGGGAGCGACACGGCGGGTGCTTGCGAGGAGCGTATGCTGGCGGCCAAGCAATTTATTGCCGACTGGCGAGCAGTGTCTAGCCGAACGGACGACGTCATGGCCACCCTGGCGCCGATCGCACGGCACGAAACAAGCCAACTCAACGTAGGGTTGATGCAATATGCCTCTCGAAACGGCACGTCGTTGATCTTGCACCAGAACTTGTTGGACAACGACCCGGCGTGGGCTGTCTTTGGCTGGCTGCACGTGCTTGATTGGGTTCAAGGCGCTCGTGAAGTCGTCGCGATGGACGGCGACGAGTCCACGGTCGTTCTCATCTCCAAGCAGTACAACCCGGAATCGTTTGTGTTCGACCCACTCGCGACCCCAAATCGATTTGCGTTCGCAATGTGGATGCTGCTGTGGTATGGCAATGGCGTTCTCTTTGCGGTGGTGGGGGTGGCGATGTTGGCGGCGGTCGTCCGTCGGCGTGCGTTGTCGATTCGACACCTCCTGGCCGCTTATCGCGTGGCTGGCGTGGTGTGGATGGGACGGCCCCTCTTGATGCTGCGCGGGCTCACGGCGATGACGCTGCTGAGCACCGCCAAAATCAAGTTGGTCACACGCAATGGGTACACGAGCTTTTTCATGCAACCACGGCAATTCTGGGAAACGTTTGTCGTGGCGGGCGAGGCGCTCTGGCTCACGTACGCTGTAAACGACGTGTTGTCGCTCTTTACCGGCCGACACACGATGCAGTGCGGCGTGGTGAGTGGGGCCTTGGTCTGGGCGACGTCGATCGTTCTCGATCTTGCCAGCCCCGTCGTTGCAACCGCGTCTACGACGCGCGAATGCATCAGCACCAACATGGAGGTTCAACTCGCGTGCGTGTTTGGTTACGTCGACATTGGGAGCTTCGACCGGTTTGTGCTGTTGTGCGTCGTTCACGTTGCTTCGATCGTGCTCGCGTGGGGCATGGCCATGCTCGTCGACGTCAAAACCACCCCGTCCAAGGTCCCCGTGATCATTCCGGCCGTGGCGTCTGCGCACTTTGGACGGCACGACGCGTCCGAGCTCGACTTTGGGGTGGCCTGCAGCATCTTTAGTGGGATCTTGCCGTTCCGAACGAAGAAACTCGCGTGCGACTTTAGCGTTCTGCTGTGGGTGGTCTTGCCGTCGATCGAGGGTTCTCACGTCTTTCGCGCCCCGACCCTTCGCCTGAAGCCGCAATTGTCGACCAAATCTGTCCTTGGTCCGTCACACGACCTCGTGCAGCGGCCCAGTCCAGCGCTTCTGACGTCGCACCGCTTTCGAGCCGTGGTTGGCCTCGTCTTCTTGGTTGTGTCCGCCGGGTCGTCCGCGTCGTTCTTCTTTGTCACTGAATCCAAGATCAGCAACACGTTTTTGTGGGAAGGGCTCAATAGCACCGGCATGCAGGCATTCCTGATTGACTGGTTCAACGTCGAAGGGGCGACTCAACGGGGTCGGGTCGTCCTGAATGCGTCGGATGTGCAGTTGCAAGCGTGGTACAATGGAAGCGCGACGGCGGTCGCCAGCAGCCAGTACGCGGCCAATACTGCGCACTTCCACGACGTCGCGTTACCAGCCATCATCAACGGCATCCAGTCGACGCCCCCCTGCGACTTGCCCTGGGTTGCGACGCAATTTTGCTGGGTCGACTTCCGTCGCCGGTGGGGGGTGGCCAACACGGCGTCGCGCCAGCAGCGGTGCGACCAAGGGATGCGGTCCAACGGAGCGGTCTACATGGAATCGCTCTTCCGCAACACAGACATGGTCGCGTTTCGATCGTGCTGGGGGGGTGCTGTCGACGTGGGACTCGTTCGTGAATTGCGCAAGACGGCGGAAGGCATCGAGTGGGTGCAGGACGTGATGGTGGCGCCACGTCCACTTGCCCACGAGGTCGCGTACTGGACGCTGCAAAACATCACGCGCTTCACGCTGCAGTGGCAAAACTACAAGTTGATCGGTCTCGTTGAAACGTTGCTCGTGGAGAGCGCGCTCGGGATGTCGTCGCCGATCACAATGAAAGCGTCGAAAGGCAAGTTCCGCTTCGACTTGGAAACGTCGAGGAAAATGTACTGGGCATGGGGCGGCGACCTCGCGGCGGTCGCGACCAACTTGACGATGGCCGGGGGCAGCTTGATTCGCACGAGCGCCGACTTTTTCTTGCAAAACACGACGTCGGAAGCGATCGTGACGAAGACAAACTTGATTTCACAACCATTGGATCCAGGCCTTGCCCTCGTTCGGTCGGTGCTTGGTCCGTTTGGCAGCGTCGACATGTTTCACGTCGGGTGCCCGCCGTCGCTCCTGCGCCTCGTTCGACTGTTCCTCGACCTCGATCAACGCACGATGGTCGCGGCGCTGGCTGCCCAACGGCCACTACCAACCTCCAGCGACGCCATGTCCCCAACACCGACGCCATGGCAGGAATACGCCCTCGCACGCGGTGGGAGCCTCCTGTGTCCTGTGAATGGAGGGAGCTTGCCCATGGCCCAAGGCATGTTCACGTTGCTGAGCATGGACATGCCGTGCGGTAGATATACGTGGGAGGTGTTCCCGACCGGACGACGAGGGCTGACGTTTTCAGTCCTGGCGTGGGGAGCGCCATCGAAATGCATGTCCGTGGGGCTGTGTGTCGCGCTTGAGGATGCGTGTGCGAAAACGGCGGCCGCGTCGGGGGAGTGCGTCGAAAACTACATGGCCGTGATAGAGTGGACCAAGGAGTACGTCGCTGCTTCCGCCCGCACCGACCTTCACCAAAGTGCACTCGACGTCAAAGCTGAACTCCTGGCGCTCAACTTGGAGCTCGTGCAGTACGCCCAACGGACGGCGTCATCGCCATTGGAGCTGCTGCGGGCGACGCTGTTTGATCCGGTAGACGTGTATTTCGAGCTCACGGCATGGCAAATCGTGTTGGAATGGGCCATGGGGTACCGCGAAGTGGTGGCCTTTCACGGCGACTCTGGTGCGATGACTGTCGTGTCGGCGTATTCAATCTTTTCGACAACGCAGCCGAATCCGCTCGAGATTCCCACGACGGGGTCGTTCTACTGTGTCCTGTGCTTGCAGTACACGACCGCCGTCATATTTGCCGTCACGGCGATCACGATTTTGTTTACGGTCGTGTCCAAGGGGCACATCGAAGGCTTCAACATGGTCGAGGTGAATCGAATGGCTGGCATCGTGTGGGTGGGTCGGCCGCTCCTCACCCTTCGCAGCCTCGTCGCCATTTGTTTGCTCGCTACGTCGTCCGTTCAGCTCGCGTCATCTGGATCGTTCACCAGGATCGCAAGTAACACCCATCATGGATGGGCCACGACGGTCTTGTCCAGTTCGGAAACCTGCTGGCTTGTCATTGTGATCACCGACGTTGCGATGGCCGTCACGAAGGACTATACCAACAAGTACTCGTTGTACAGCAGCGTGGTCGCGACGATTCTCGCCACGCTCCTCAGCGTCATGTATCCCGTACACCCGACGTTTGTCCTTCAACGAGAGTGTAAGACCCCGCAAGTGAACTTTCAAGTCGAGTGTGTCGCCGGGGTCGTTCAGATCGGGAGCTTCCCGCGCGTGATCCAGCTCGTGGCCCTCACGTCAGCCGTCGTCATAGTGTGCTACGCATGGGAGCGATGGCGTAACCCGAATTTCCTGCTGCCGCAGCATACCACGTCGCTTTTGTTGCCGGCCGGGGCAGTGTATCTGTACCACAAGGAGCCGTGGATTTACAAAGGCACGTTGTACTTGGACAAAGCGTCGGCGTTCATGTGTGGCCTCATAGCCATCTCGTACAAGCGGCAAATGTTTGTGCTGGACATCAAGACGTGGCGACTCCATGTGATCGCCATTGACGAAGGACTCTACCCTCGACACATGTCCATGACCTCGCTTCAGGAACTTTCCATGGCGTCGGCCGTCCCCTTGATAGACTAATGCTGTCAGGGGGCTGCTGCATGTCGCGAAGGACGTGTGCACTCGAGCGGTGATGGCATGTTTGTCCTGCCGAGCCGTCGTTCTACAGAGTCCGTTTAAATAGTGTGACTTGTCGTCCACTGCATCCGAACGGCAACGAGCGTTGTAATTTTAAACAAAAGTCATTTTTTTACTTCATTTGATGTATTGAGGGTCCATCTTTTAAACTCACCACAAACTCACACTATTTGAATGTTGGCGCGCACCTGATTGTTTTCAAATTCAGACATGGCGACGTCTTTGGGAAAGCCGCCGCGGACTGCGTCGAGCCAACAACTGCCAGAAGGTGAATGGAGAGACACAAGCGCTGGTGAGGTGGACGCGATGGAATCGTTCCGCTTTGGGAGGATTCCTGGACGTAACTCTGAATCGCTCTCTCCTATTCCAGAAACGTCGAGGGAGAGCATTCCTTCCACCGAGTCACCTCTCGTGGCGAAAGGGATACCAGCAACAGAGTTAACGTCGGCGACATCAACCGTTCCGACATTACAACAGGATGCGCGTAGACCAGGCCAGTATCGCGTAATGCAACGACAAGAAGGCGATATCTTTCACACACCGACGAAAGATTCGGCCTTTCAACAGGACCTCACGTCTCGTCATCGCCGCCGCCGTTCTGATCGAGGTGATAAATCAGCCTCATGACCTGGGCTGCAGTTGCTGCCTCATAGCAAAAATCATCATTGTAGAGAACCCGTCGCCTTCGTTTCGTCCACAACCATCCCGTCATCGTCGATCGAATCGCATCCAAGCACATTTGGATGAAGCTACCACGGTCCTGGACTTGATTCATCGGGAGAAGCTGCATCGCCCAAACGTTGAGTTGCTCGCTCAGTCCTTTCAGAGTCACATGCTCGAAGTCATGACAAAGCAAAAGCTGCATTTGGAGCAGCAGACAGCATTGTTGAAAGCGGCAGCAGCTGCCGCCGAGCATTCTTTTCACCAGCTCGCTCAACAGCAATTGGAAGACTTTGACCAAGAATTGGCCGAGTTAAAAGCAAACCACGACGCTGCAATGGCGCAACTCCGGCGACAACTCGACGAAAAGGACGCACTCCTGCGACAATGGGACAAAGTACCCATCCGAGTCTCTCCAAAGTGGTTGGACGCTGCGTCGTGGGCATTACTGGCACTAGCCGTCCTATTCGCAACGATTCAAGCGTGCCAGTGCCTGTGGGCGTCGGTCGTGGCAAAAGATCACGTCGTTATGCGCCGATATGTCACGTCAGCCCGCGTCACCAACTCGACCTAGTCCCTCCATGCCTTTCCATCATCAATTTTATACAAGTTTGAGCCGACGCCCGTCCACAGTTGCCACTCGTGGAATTTGGAGTGGGTGAAATCACTGGTGCGTCGGTTCCGTGGTAGCGACTACCTCACTCATGAGAAGTCCCTTTCGGCACGCCTACACGAATATCATCGCGATGTGCAACAGACGATGCTCGCGTTCCCAACGTTGTGGCCATTCTAGAAAAAGGTCCAAAAACGTTTGTTATGATGGAGGCTTAGTTGGCCATGGCATACACTGCCAACCCGACCGTGGCCAGCGAGATGGCGGATGTGACAGCGGACGATTTGGGGGTCGTCGTAGGAGTAGGTACAGTCGTCGGAGCGACCGTGGTCGCGATGGGGTTCGTGACATTTGCTGACTTGATGGCCGAGAAGATCGCCTTGAGGGCTTCAGGGATGGTCAACGTGGCAAACGTGGATGTTTCGACACCACCCAACGTGCACGAAGGTGTAATCTTGGACACAATGCCGCCGAGGCTGGCATACAGCGCCTTGCACGATTCGCTGGACGAGAGCTTCGCCACTTCCTCGTCGGTTGGAGGAATCCCCGACGCACCGCTGACGATAAAGTTGTAACCAGAATCCGTCGCACACTTGGCCAAGTTGGGGTCAGTCATGAGAGGGGTCAAGTTGCTCAAGACAGTCCCAATCTCGCACGGCGCAGCCGACACAGCGCTCACGATCGTCAGCACTCCCAACGCTACGGCGGACTTCATCTCCTTGCTGGTTACGGTTCACTTTTGATAATGCTCATCGACAAGATACCACGAAAATCCGGATAGAATATCCGAACAGTTCAGTCAAAATTACCTCAAAACGTCCACCATCCACCACGGAGCTGTCGGTTGCGGTGGAAGGTTGACCAGCTGCAGCCGTTTGCTCTTCCGGCGCGCCCCATCGAGAAAGCTACTGGCGATGATTCGTTTCGAATGGCAGTAGAAAAAGAGAATATTTGAACGCACCCGTTGCTGCAACTTGTTGCACATGGTACTGTTTAAGGAATCTCTTTGCGTGTATACACACATGCTGGTCGGCACCACCAGAATGTCGCCAGTAGCACAGCATCGGCGCCGAGGAGTTGCCGTTTGGCAGCATTGGTGGCTGGATCGAGTGTCCTTGGCTAAGATGGCTTGTCTTCTCTAGCAGTCCAACGTACCTCGAGTCATTCCAGGCCAGGCCACGGATTTCCGGCTGCGATATTTGCAGCGGAGGTCACTTCGGATCAGCAAAATCGGGCAATGACACACCTCTACATGACATTTGGACAGCCACCGCGTGTTGCTGTCGCTCATTTTGGCTGGAGGTTATTCTCGACCAGGGTGCCCATGACGCCACGTTTGACGCACAGTCGCTGTTCTCGAACTGGGTCGTCGTTCGTGCTACCTCCGAGCCACAACTTGGCAGGGAATCCCTGAGCTGCCTGCTCAACCACCACTGATGTAGTCGACATCAACTGCAGCTCTATAACGTGCATGAACAACATACATAAGAGCGTGATACATTCAACTAAATAGACAAGTCCAACGGGTCGCGGTATGCAAGCAGGGCCCCGAGTTGTTTGCCCACCCCCACGAGACGATGGAGGATCGCCGGCATGCTTGCAGCTGACGAGTCCGCCACCTTGAGCACCTTGGGCAAAACCACATGCGCGTGGCTGGCCAGCTCTTGACAGCCCCGACGCAGTCCCTCGCCCCCGACGACGACCAAACCGTACGACGCACTCGCCGGTAGACGCTGTGTGCAAATCATCTGGAGAATCTGGCCGTGCCACGCCGGAGTGAGTGCCGTGGCGGCGCAGATAAGCTGAATGCGCGCGTAGTGCTGGGGCGACGAAAACAGTTGCGCACAGCCAGGTAAGCACGCCGCACACAGCGTTTCAATGTACGACGCGCCATTTTCGCACAAGACAAACACAGGTCCGAGGGTGCTCGCGTGGAGAAGCAACTGGACGATGCATTGATCGAGTTGGGCGAGGGATGCTTGCGCCGCGGCGGTCGGAACGGCGTTGCATCGGAACCACTCAGCAGGACACAGAAACTCGTTCCACGACAACACGATGGCGTTTGCGGCGGCAGGCGT